TGGCAAGTTTAAGTACTATTTGAAGACATTTTCCACAGGATTCTTTCACTTTTCCTAATGTATTAATCAACCCTTCTGCAGAAAGTACTGTATATGATCACAAACTTGTTGGGAACTAGGATGACTTATGGTCCTATCCAAATGTATACATCAGAAAGACAAATTAGCCACATCATCCGAGTAAATGTGACTAAGCTTAGCTAATGCATGACAAAAATTACCATGTAGAAATTTGACCTTTTGAGGATGGCACATTATAGTCTCAGTGTAAATGCAGCCATTTCCTTGCCAACTTTTCGTGAGCTGACTTCACTGCTTGAGTCATAATTACTACAAGAAAAAAGAGTTAAAGATGTATTGCATTGAGAGGTTTGTCCAGATACTTATACACAGATATTGTAGTTGTAAGTCTGTAGTAGCACATATCTTACACTCAAATGGTTTAAAAATTCAGAGCCTATAATGAAGTATGTGTTGTGACACACCTCTGAGGTAATAGTGTCTAATTGCTTCTTAGTTTCTTCTTCTTCTTAGGAAGACGTAAATAGACACTTCAAAGCTGTGACTTGTGGGGTCTTGCATGAAAAACCAATCGCGATCAAACCAATCAAAATGATCAGAGGAATGCATGCATTTTAAAAAGTTTGTGATTAAGCTGTATTAAGGCGTCCTTTGAATACACGTATCCCCCTGTCAAAAACAGACAGCTCCGTTTGACAAGATCTCGAAAGAAGAGTATTGGTGTTGGAGTGCATGTCATGTATCTCAGAACTTGCAATCTCTTCATTCGTACTGCACAAGGTCAAATCAGCCCGCTCCTCTCCCAGGGAAGAAAGTTGAGCAAGATCTGCCCCAGGATCCATTTCAGACACAGGCACGCTTCTGGCTCTCGCGTCGGTAAGAGAGGAAAATGGGAGGGAATGTTTGACCTTTTTTCAAGGCGCAGTCAGGAAAAAGAAAAAGGGGGAGACTGAATGCAAAGTGAGAGAGCAAATTATAGGCGGACTTAGTGGGAAGATTTGAAGACAGAGGAAACATATTTTATGAGGGATTTCTATACTGTAATCCTCCAACGATGTCTCCTCTGATCAAACAGCGCGTCAATCAGTGTTCAAGGGATTTTTATGAATGGCATTACACTTCTCAAATGCAAACTATCGGCCGGAAAGGAAGTGCTTGGTGCAAAGAAAAAAATCTTTTAAAAGATTCTACAATAATTAAGAAGGCTCAGCAGCAACTTTGGGATGCTTAGGCGGTTGCCATATGGTGAATTAAAGCGTTGCCTTAAGCAAACATTTCCATTTTAACTCCTTAGCGTACAGCTGTTAAGTATCACAGTATATTTTTACTACCTTGTTAAGGAACACAACTTGCTCAAAGGTTTGTTAAGTTTGGATTTCACTGGAATCCCTTGGATAGCAAACAGGAAAAGAATCCCTTTCAGAATCAAAAACAATGTTTTAACTTGGGGGATATCTGAATAGAAGCTCTATTAGTATTCCGGGCCCACAGCATGTTTGATGCAAATTATCTGCTGGGTCATTACTACTTTTGAGAGGAGTAGCGCTGGCCAAAGGGTTTGAAGTTTTCACCAGTGGGCGCGCTGAGGTGGTATTGACAAGGAACAAATAAAACCAATGCACCCGCTGGGAGTTAATAAAGAGGGAGCTAAACCACAGGAATAGAGTCGGGTAACTTTCTATTTATACATTGCCAAAACAGTAACGGAAGGGGATGGAAGAACGATGGTCTCTCTGTTCATATTTTATACATCCAACTGATAATCCAGCTACGGTAAGCAGCGTGTCCTCTGGTCCTGAGTAAAAACAACTCAAGATAGTGTATTAATGCACAATGTCAAGCACTGACACTTGCTTAGTGGGCAGGTGGTAGTTGTACAGTATTGAAAGTGCCAGGATTCAGCTCATGTGATAATAGGCTCACTGATGGTTTTCCCCTAGACCCAGCTGATTCATTACATTACGAGGAAGTGCAGAGCGTTGTTCAATTATTTTTTTGACATTGCAATGGGTTTGGATAATTCAAGATCTTCAGGCCGGATTCATTTGCAATATTTTGAACGTACACCTGGAAAACGTCTCTTGCACACAATTATGTGAAGACATAACCTGCATATCGTGACAAACAAGACACACAAAAAAGAGTTAGTCGAACTTACTCATATCCTGTTCAAATGTGTCATATTGAAGAACTCTATTACAGCTGTAGACAATATTCTCAGTGAGAACATCCTCACAGTGAGTGGGATTTTTTTTCATGAGGTAAAGTTGTGCAACATGATTAAAACATCGTGTTGCACTGAGAAACAATATTCTCACTGTGATTTTCCTGGGAAGGTGATTTAATGTTGCATAAGAACACAAATAATGCATTGAAAAACTTTCAAATCAATGTTAGGTGTTAGTTGTGTTTTTTAGGGGAACAATGGCACACAGAGAGAAACCACACTGGCATCATCCTGCAGGCGTGTTTGCTGCTTCTTGGCTGCGTATCAACGCCGAAGTCACGACAAGAACGGATTCACTTTTCCAGCACCGGCTCCTCAGACTTTATCAAAGTTAGAAAATGTGTGAATTACCTGTTTGCCCTTGTACTTTATCAGACATGGAAAATAAACTTTTTTTTGCTTGTATTATTCATGAGGCCATTTCAACGGCACGAAGTGGTCAATAAGTCAGTGTGAGAATCAAGGTGAATGGAGTGATTGACTGGACCCGTGTATGGGGAATCATAAGGCCTTAGGTTTGGACCCTTCCCTCAGGCCCTCTCTTCAATACGAGAATGTAGGAGGAACACCCGAAGACCTAGAGCAAATATTAGCATACTTCTCATCATATTATTATTCATCACTTGTAAGGAACTTGACTTAGCTGCAGCCAGTTCAAAACAGACTAAATAAGGAGATAACAAATTTGAGAGAATTTGGGAGCCGCTGCGTTTGCAGAGTTAAGGCCCTTCTGGTGTCAAGATCACGTGACACAATCACAGAAGGAACCGATGAGAACACAAGTTTGTGAAAGATCAACTCATCTTTAAGTTCCCATAAATGAGATTTCGACGCACAAATACCATATTAGATCTACTGAGGGGATTGGAAGATGTGGTTATCAAGTACCAGTGTCTTGTACACTTTATAGTATGTTGGTGGGGTGTGAACTACCTCCCCAGTAATGATCCCAACCACCGTTTAACGGGGCCCGGTGGCAACCCACACAAACACCTCAGAGACGTTGGAAAGTCCTGTCGAATCAAAACGTTCTCTCTCTCGTTTCGCAACAACACCCTCCAGGGCAGCAAGTTGAAGCTAGCAATGAGTTTGTAATGACTCCATCTGGCCAGCCGAGCGAGAGCGCACTCCACCACTGTACACGGGTTATGTTGTCACCTTTCCCTGTCACGCCGAAGTGAGAGATCGCTCCTTTCTCTCCTGAGCGAAGGACGCCGACGGCTGCGTCCAGAGGCGGAAAAGGTCAGGCCATCAGGTCGGTTGTGCTAACGTACTGCTGAGCAGGCAGTCAGCCAGCACCCTCGGGAGACATTGGCTGCCTGCTTCTCACCTCAACGGCGTGCGCGTCCCACGTCCTTTGCATCACTCCCGACACCGGGCGGATTCTCACCTCGGCTGTCCCTTCGTTCACACTTTGCTTCTTACGCCCGCCACTTGCTGAACCCTTTATTCTGCTGCCACGGGTTTGTCAAAAAAGTGTTGCTTCACTAACGTTTAGTCAGGTGATTCCTGCAGCTGCAAAGCGCCCACGACGGTCCCGGGCATTGGTGTCGGAGCACCTCAAGATGGCAGTGTTCACCACGGCAGGCTACTAAGTCTTTGGAGCTCAACAGCTTGTGTTTCTCAGCAAGAGCAGCAGCATCACAGGCAGAGAGCCGCGGATGGAGTTGGGGGGTTTATCTACTGCATTGAAATTAAGATGACGATGGCAGTGTGCATTAAAGGGTGGCAGGATGTGGACAGCTGACTCTGATTTCTGTGTTACTAAATATGCTACTTTCCAGCTGCACTGTTCCACCTCGGACGTGTGTGTGTGTGTGTGTGTGTGTGTGTGTGTGTGTGTGTGTGTGTGTGTGTGTGTGTGTGTGTGTGTGTGTGTGCGTGCGTGTACTCGGCTCAGTTACACGGTTCGGCCACCTCTTGTTGCTCTGTGGTCTGGGGTGACGGGCAATTTCAAAGTCACGTCCCAGCCTGCTCGGATCGCCACGGATCATTTGCAAGAAATAGCAAACTCAAAAAAAATGAACAAAAATAAAAGAGAGATGATCAAAGATAAAGACACGCGGTTCACTTCATTCTGCGACGAGGTCGCACCACGCGGAGGCTCGGATGAATGGGACAACTCTCAAGGTTGTTTCTCACGGACACATGACGGTGGCGATCAAACACGCGTGGACAACGGAATCCGTGTCTGGAGGGCGGATCGCCTCACGCAGGGCTTAAACCCTTCATTCCTAGCAAGTCTTCCCCGTTTGGAACCCGGGGCAGTTCGTCCGTTTTGTTTGCTTCAGTCTTGTGTCTTTTGGCGTGAGTGCGCGCGCGCGCGCGTGTGTGTGTGTGTGTGTGTGTGTGTCCACCCCAATTAGTGGAGCCTCCCCGACAACAGCCTAACAGGTTGGCTGCTGTGTCCCTTCGGAGCCAGTGACTCTGTGCCTTTTCCCATAATCCTCACAATAACGCTTTCATTTTTTTAACTCATTTCCAATAGGCGGCATGGGGGTTTTTATATTCTTATTGGGAATATCCCCCCCCCCCCCCCCCCCTTACCCCCTCCTCACCCCCTTCGTTAGGCGTCTCCGCAGCCTGCAGCATCTCCACGGAGCATCTCACCGCGGACAGCCCCCCCGCCGGCCCGCATGGAGTGACGTGACTCCGGGCCAATCCCGTGGCCGCTCGGGCTGCCGACGCCACCGAAAGAGAGGGGGGGGGGGCGGTGTCCAATCACGAGGGCAGGCGGTGGTGGAGGCGTCGGCGTGCGGTGTACTTCACCACCACCGCCACCACCTCCTATGGGTTTACACGGAGTTAGTGCGAGATATTCTGCTCCGGGAGCGAGAGTGCGCGGATAAACGGCACACACACGCTGCGCGTCGGTGTCCCACCGAACAGCCTCTATTCAGGTTACCACGAGATTTATCTCTCTCTCTCTTTCTTCTTCTTCTCCCCCCTTCACGATATCTTTTTAACCTTGTGTCTCCGCCGGCTGATGAACTTGAATCATGACGGGACACCGGTCTCTCCTCTCGAGTTCACCTTGCTGCCTCCTTCACCTGACCAGGTAGCCCGGGGGGGAGGAGGAAGAGGAGGTGGAGGAGGAGGAGGAGGAGAGGGGCGAGAACACAAGGAAAAAGAAGCTAAATAGACACCCGTCTGTTTTCCTCGGGACGTATTTTGGGAGATGAGAAGTGCTTTTCTTCGGACCGGTTCTGCTGTCAGACACCACCAGCCGCTGACGCACCCGGCCGCGTCCGCGGGAGAGCGACGCAATCACCGCGGCTCGCACAATTAGGTACTGTCCTCTTCCTGAAGTTAAATGGGGGAAACGGAACTGCGACATATGCAGCTTCTTATTCATCCCAGTTTGAGCGAGCAGCTGCTTTTACCCGTAACCGAGTCTTGATTACTACTGCGGGGTCAATATATCTTTTTTTCTTCTTCTTCTTCTTCTTCTTCTTCTTCTTCTTCTTCTTCTTCTTCTTCTTCTTCTTCTTCTTCTTCTTCTTCTTCTTCTTCTTCTTCTTCTCCCTCTCCTCTTGCCTGGACCCACCGCTTGATCTGACTGAGAAGGATTTTCTTTACCTGATTAAAGTCTCAGCCGCCCTGGACCTGAAGACTATGAGCTGACAGACTGCGCGTTTTATCCCGCGCTGTACCGGATTTGGGTATGTACGATGAGAATAAGGTCTTCAGTTAGCCGCTACGAATTCAAAGCTCATTTTGAAGGCTTCATTCATGCGCAACCATTCGCTTAGGATCACACACACACACACACAGCTAAAGCTCTTTAATCGGCAATCCAAGCGTAAAATTAATACGACTTGGTCATTTATTGTGAAGTTTTTTTTTTTTTTAAATAATATTTTTTTGCCATGGTTGGTTTGAGACGCCGAAAATTCTTTGTGGCTTTATAATGTGGAGGATTTCTTAGGGGAGCAACAGACATGCATGGCTGCCTAAATGGGTGCTGCAGTGTTATTGTTGTTTTTTTCCTCTTATGAATTGTGGATAAATGCATATGAGATGATAGTATAGTGAATTGTGTAACACAAATGAAAGAAAGACAAAAAAAAAACTGTGAGATGGGTGGGCCGTTAAATATAATGACTGTGCATGGCAAAGTTATTTCACTGAAGGGAAACTCTGTCATGTTTTTGTAGGTTTGTCCGTGGAAGGTTCCTACCATCACACGCGAGGAGTCTCTGCCCGTAACGTCGTCGCATAGAAAGACACCTTTTGAGTTGTGAAGGCTGGAAACACATTCAAGCTGTCATGGATCTAAAAGACTATTACCTGTTGGGCGCCCTGCTTGCCTGCCTGTGGCTAGATCCTTCAATAGCCCAGGAGCTCATTTACCCCATTAGAGAAGAGTTGCAAGAAAATGTCCTGATTGGAAACATACCAAAGGACCTAAACATACCCCACACAAACGCTGCCACTGGAGCGAGCGCTAATCTTGTGTACCGGCTCGTCTCCAAAGCGGGAGATAACCCACTGGTGCGCGTTCTGAGCAGCACGGGCGAAATATTCACAACATCAAACCGAATCGACAGGGAGAAGTTGTGCCCCGGTCCCTCGTTTGAGGACAGCGAGTGCTCCTTTGAAATTGAAGTGGTCATCCTCCCTAATGACTATTTCAGGCTGATTAAGATCAAAATAATTGTCAAAGACACAAATGATAATGCCCCCATGTTCCCGTCCCCTGTGATCAACATCTCCATCCCCGAGAACACGCTCATTAACAGCCGGTTTGCTATTCCTTCTGCCACTGACCCAGACACTGGCCCAAACAGTGTCCACAAATACGAGCTGATCAACGGGCAAAGTGCTTTTGGCTTAGACATAGTGGAAACGCCTGAGGGCGAGAAGTGGCCTCAGCTTATTGTGCAGCAGAATCTGGACAGAGAGCAGAAAGACACATATGTGATGAAGATCAAAGTGGAGGACGGGGGCAGTCCACAGAAATCCAGCACTGCCATTCTGCAAGTTACTGTGACGGATGTAAATGATAACCGGCCGGTGTTTAAAGAGGGTCAGATAGATGTGCATATACCGGAGAACTCCCCCATTGGCGCGTCTGTGGTGCAGCTCATGGCCACAGATGCAGACATTGGCGCGAATGCAGAGATACGCTATGTGTTTGGGACTCAGGTGTCTCCTTCCACTAAAAGACTCTTTGCATTGAACACAACATCTGGCCTAATTACAGTGCAGAGGCTCCTGGACAGAGAGGAGACTGCTATCCATAAGCTCTCCGTCTTAGCCAGTGATGGCAGCTCCAGTCCTGCAAGAGCTACTGTTACCATAAATGTGACTGATGTTAATGACAACCCGCCTAATATAGACCTGCGATACATAATCAGCCCCATTAATGGCACTGTTTTCCTCTCGGAGAAGGATCCCATCAATACCAAGATAGCTCTCATCACCGTGTCAGACAAAGACACGGACATCAACGGCAAGGTCATATGCTTCATAGAGAAGGACGTACCTTTCCATCTCAAGGCCGTGTACGACAACCAGTATCTGCTGGAGACCTCTGCGCTGCTCGACTACGAGGGGACAAAGGAATACAACTTCAAAATCGTGGCTTCTGACTCCGGGAAACCCAGCTTGAATCAGACTGCCTTGGTACGAGTGAGGCTGGAGGATGAGAACGACAACCAGCCGATTTTCATTCAGCCAGTCATCGAGCTGGCCGTCATGGAAAACAACAAGCGCGACCTGTTCCTCACTACTCTGAGCGCCACGGATGAGGACAGCGGGAAAAATGCGGAGATCGTTTATCAGCTGGGCCCAAATGCATCATTCTTCGATCTCGACCGCAAAACGGGGGTGCTGACCGCTTCCAGGGTTTTTGACCGTGAGGATCAGGACAGGTTTCTCTTCACTATCACGGCGCGGGACAACGGGACGCCCCCTCTGCAAACCCAGGCGGCGGTTATTGTAACCGTGCTGGATGAAAATGATAACAACCCTAAGTTCACACACAACCACTTTCAGTTCTTTGTGTCTGAGAATCTTCCCAAATACAGCACAGTGGGGGTGATAACCGTCACCGATTCAGATGCCGGAGAAAATGCTGCTGTTTCTCTGTCCATCCTCAATGACAACGAGAACTTTATTCTGGATCCCTACTCTGGAGTCATCAAATCCAACGTGTCATTTGATAGGGAGCAGCAGAGCTCCTACACTTTCGATGTCAGGGCCGTGGACAGCGGCAGGCCCCCCTGCTCCTCGGCAGCCAAGGTTACCATCAATGTCATCGACGTGAATGACAACACCCCCATCGTCATCTACCCCCCCTCCAACACGTCCTTCAAGCTCGTCCCGCTTTCCTCCATCCCGGGTTCCGTGGTAGCGGAGGTGTTTGCTGTGGACGGTGACACGGGAATGAATGCGGAGCTCAAATACACTATCGTCAGCGGGAACAACAAAGGTCTGTTCAGAATTGACCCTGTCACGGGGAATATTACTCTCGAGGAAAAACCAACTGTGACTGACATAGGCCTACACAGATTAGTGGTCAATATTAGTGACTTGGGATATCCCAGATCCCTCCACACGCTGGTGCTGGTATTCCTGTACGTCAACGACACCGTGAGCAACTCAACGCTCATCTACGACCTCATCCGACGCACCATGGAGACCCCGATTGACCGAAACATCGGCGAAAGCGGTGAAACCTATCAAAGCGGCGACTATTTAACCATAATGATAGCCTTTGTCACCGGCGCCTTGGTGGTGATCATTGTCATATTTGTCACCGTGCTTCTGCGCTGCCGCCACGCCTCCAGGTTCAAGGCCGCGCAGAGGAAAAAGCAGGGCGCTGAGTGGATGTCGCCCAACACGGAGAACAAGCAGAACAAGAAGAAGAAGCGAAAGAAAAGGAAGTCCCCCAAAAGCTCCCTGCTCAACTTCGTCACCATCGAGGGGAACAAACCCGACGACCCTGCCCACGAGCCAATAAACGGAACCATCAGTCTGCCCACCGAGCTGGAGGAGCAAGGGATTGGACGCTTCGATTGGAATGCCACGCCTACCACGACCTTCAAACCCGGCAGCCCCGACCTGGCCCGGCACTACAAGTCTGCCTCGCCGCAGTCGGCCTTCCACCTCAAGGCCGACACGCCGGTCTCCGTGAAGAAGCATCATGTGATTCAGGAGCTCCCATTGGATAACACATTTGTCGGAGGCTGTGACACCCTTTCCAAGAGGTCCTCCACGAGCTCCGACCACTTCAGTGCCTCAGAGTGCAGTTCCCAAGGAGGGTTCAAGACGAAGGGGCCCATGCACACCAGACAGCAGGTAAAAGAGCACTTTTACTGGTCTATAAGTACTGCCTATAACTGCCCTGTTCCACAGTGCTAAAGTGCCAGTCTAGATTAGACACTCACTCTAAGTTACCGTGAAGCAACATAAAAGCGTGCAGGAGACGTACGATTTCAGAGAGTTCCACTATTTATCAAACTTAAAAAAAGGAAAAAACTGAGTCAAATTGCTAATTTTCTTAATTTCTTAATTCCTGGGGAAAAATTATAGACTGATGTTTTGTGATTAATATATATTTAATTCATATTTAACAAAAATGCAAGTGGGTGAGGGATTTCTTTGCCTTATTTTGTCTATTCAGCACACGGGTTAAATCAATGGTAAAATGTACCAACATAACATTAATGGTGAATCAATGTTCTTTGTGAAAGAAACATTTTTTTCTTGCCTATATCTACTCCGATTACTATTTCCATCAGGGATGACCGGTGCACACATTCTGTCCAAAAATTAGCTTTTCATCTCCTCATACAACTCTGATTGTGTTCATGTTTCGTTATTATTATTTCCTATTGTTTTCTTATTTGTTTTGACGTGTCTTATTATATCACAAGAGACTTTGTAACCTTTTCCACACCTGCAGCAATAACTACAGTCAATAATTAGCCTGCTGCAGTACCATTGTCAATGTTACTATAGGCTTTGCCACATAATCTAAACTCAAATTAAATGCCTCCTCTCAAAGCACACTAGCATACCGACTAAAGCTTGTGTGGAACTTGATACGCATCCAATTCAAAAAGGATTAGCCAATAATGAGCCTCAAATTTCAACGTAATCCATGCTGCTTTTTTACGAAAGCCTTATTAATTTTTCTGCTAATAAAGCACTACTTCACAACACACAGTTGGAACACATGTGGACAAATACAAGTGAGAGGGGGGGGCGAGCGGGACAGAGAGAAAAGGGAGATGGAATGTTGTCAGCGGGTCAGGCTTGACGGGCGGTGGTACTGAACCTTCGGGGGGCAGTGTTGAGCTGCGCGGCACAGTCTGGCAACATGCCAAGCTGCAGTGGACTTCTAAATGCAAGGGAGGAGGAGAAAGGAGTGAAACCTATGTTGGTGTTCTTAGCGAAATACTCTCGCCTAATGATGTTGAGGGTGCACAGGGAAGATTGATAATGGCAGTTAGAGAGATGTGAGTGATAAGATCTATCCAGAGAGAGAGAGAGAGAGGGGGAGAGAGAGAGAGGTTGAGATTACAGGGGCGACACTGTGTGGCTGCCATGGCTGCATACCTCCGGGTCACTGCATCTGGGGTTGCGTTTAATGTGTTTCTGTGCGAGAGGTAGCAGTCAAAAGAGGCATTCAGTCCACCGGAATTTGCCAGGCGGTGTGTGTGTGCGTGTGCACGTTTGTGTGGTTGTTGATGTGAGAGAGAGACGAGGCGATGAAACGGGTGGTGGCGGTGTGGGTGTTCAAGCCTAGAGGGGGGGGACACATGAGATATGACACTACACTGTAAGCACAACTTCATTGATTTGCTCAGTCATCCCACAATACCACACAAGATCTATTGGTATCAATAATTCTGACAAATGCGTCAAATGCACAAACCGAGCCGGCGAGCTCTGTACAGCGTTCACTGATGATGCAAATGATTCAGATACATTGCTCTGACATGCATCCTTTCACTCACACATTTAGGTGTAGTTTTGTAGAGCACAGTTGGAATCGGCCTCACGTCGTCCCGTCTTAATCTTCTTTCTTTTCCCTCCGAATCGACACAAAGCGGTTCAGTTGCCAATCCCCTTTGTCCTCTATTTTTAGATCTGTAACATGAAGCATAAGCATCACATACGCATTAGCATCTAATCATGCCACTCACAAATCAAATAATAATCAAGTCTGTATTCATTTATTTATCAAACTATATTATTTAGATCCAGACATAACCCACTTGCAATAAAAGTCCTGAGGAACAGAGAGAGGCCTCCCTTTAGCAGTACCCATGGATTACTCAAATGAATATGCACTGATATATTTGACGGCACACAAGTTCACACTTTCTCTTCTTCATTTTGTTACTACTAGGAGGAAAAGTTATCTTCTACTTTTCCACTCTTTGTGGATATCCGTCCTTGGAGAGTTGTAATGAATACAATCTGCTTGGTTCTCAGTCCTAATTATTCCAAAGCTTCCCACTTGTATGAGCCCACTTCAGATTTGAGGTTAAATGGCAGTTATTGATTGTGGTAAAAATGATTGCGCTGACACGTCTTACTGGATAAAGCAGGGTATGTTATCAATGTCTTTGCTTACATCCATATTTTGAATGTTTTGCACAATGCAACAATTTGTATTGACTTCCACATGTCATCTCTATTTCACAAGTATTGATAAGTAGACGTTCATCCAGTATGTTAAATTCCTTTTTGAATTTTGCCTGCGTTTTGAAAAACAAAACCGAAGAGATGAGCTATGATTTGTGAAAAAAGAAAGGTAAAAGCCCAAAAATACCAATTACTTTTGAGGGAATCTGAACAGACAGTATATCCAAAAGGTAATATCATATGATTATCGCATCATATTCCCCGCAGACTAGCAGTGCTTTGGAAAAACATAAGAACTGCATTATTAAAGGATTTATAATACATATATAGATGCTAAAAAATGTCAATATCATCTAAACGTATTCATGTCTTGGACTTAAAATGTGATTTAATGCCTTGCATTTTAATATCAGTCCAGTAAGGTACCAATGCACATGATGACATTTTGCATACATTATTGCCTTACAAGTGACAAACCACCATCAATCAGCCAGACGTCGACACAAAATTGGCAATTAAGTGAAAGCAAACCTTCAAGAGAAAGGGTGAGCAGATGAAGACAGGCAGGTTTTAGCGGAGTCCTCCTCTCAGAGAAGACAGAACCTTGTGTATGGAAACAGCAGACATCTACAACAGTGTCATCACAGATGAATGCCAAGTGGAATCAGCTTCACAGAAACCCCAAAACCTAGCTGGTAGCGAAAGAAGCAATCCCTGCTTCTCTTTTCTTTCTTTCTTTTTTCTCCCCCCACTTATTATTTACACCCCCAGGGACCTACATTAGTGTAAACAACACTGAGGGGAAAAAAGCATGAAAACACTGTCCTAGTTTCATGAGCATCTAAGAAAGCAAAGCATAATCACCGACGTTTCACCATCAGTCTCACTCTCCCCCTTTCAGCAGTCTTGGGGGGAGATGACAGAACACGAGCCCAGTGGCTACGCATCAACCGTGTGCCGAGCATCAGATCCCAAGGCCCGTGTTGTAGACACATCAACATGGTTTCACTGAGGGTGCAGGATTTGAAAGCAGACACGGAGATGGTGGTGTGGGACAAGTGCTGAATCGATTACAATCCATAATTTAAGCTTTCACTTGTCACTGCTACACCTTAAAAGCAATCACACGGTGGCTGTGGATTTAAGGCTGTTTGCTGTGCGTTGAGTGAGAGAGTCCATATGCATTAGACTTGTGTACGTTCTAGCAGATGTACAAGAAGCGTCCTCTTTCCATTCACTCTGCTATGGTAATGTGCATCACATGCTAGGATGCACAATTACGACCATTACATGGGGCTTTCAGTTCTGCGACCATGTGGCCTGAACACCTCTGTGCAAAAAGCCTTAATTGCTGTGGGTTATTAGCCCTTTTTCTCTTGCACAGCGAAGAAAATGCAAGCACTAAAAGACAGTCTGTAAGTTCTGCGAGCCCACTCTGCTCTGATGTGCTCTTCTGCAGCAGAAGCAATGCCTTAGCTGAGGATGTAGCAGCTTTGCTGTAGTTACACCACATATAAAACATTGGCCAGCATTTTAGTTTGACTGAATCCAAATAGTTCTGAAGAGTTAGGAAATCTTTACTCTCTGTGTCCGATTTGCATGTCATTGCGTTACCAGTAAAATGAAGAAAAAAAAATTGTATTCAACTTGTATCATTCAAATAAATATAGCGTCTAGATTTAGCTTTCTAGCTTTCAGGTAAAGAGCTGGGAAATCCTTAGCACGGTATTCCTGAAGTAATCGCGGCCGTCCATTTAATGAATGGACATCCTTTGCAAACAGGAGTTTGTACAGGCCATTGTAATTATGGAGCCTTGGGGGAGTCGTCCTTCTTGTGCAGGTTCATTTGCCACATTAATAAGGGGATTAGTAGTACGTACGGGGGCTGATGGCAGCAGGAGAAGTTTGAGAAGATTAATGACCTATGACAATGTTGCACCTGAGGGGAAAAGTCCGTTGCAATATCTCCTGGGTTGTGCTGACACAGAGTTTGGCGGTATGAAAGAGGAAGATGGAGAGAGGCTAGTGATTGTTGCCGACTGTGATCATACATCCTTCTCCTCAGCCATCCTGTCACTTCTCCAGGAGGCTGCGCTTGTGATATCGCATAATGCACACGTCCATAACACTTTTGACGGAAGATGTTCCGCTGGATTCGGAATTTACTTGAAAGTGAGGGACGCCAAGTCGTAAAACCTCACACCTCCTGTGCATATAAACAAAGACTGTAAGCGATGTAAACAACAACAAAGATGTTATTAATCAAACAAACATTTTGGCAAATTCTGGGTGTTCTAAAATCTCTTGGTCAAAACACATGCAGCCATCAGGAGATTCTAAGCCAATAAGACTGTGAGTGAAGCTTCTATCAAAGCGTCAAATCATCAGTGGAGGATTTGCAGGGCTCTTTACTGCAGAGAACATTGTGTTTCTTTAAAAAACTTGTCATGTCTTCTATGTCTAGGTGGGTAAAAGGAAATGAAATGGATTGTGGGCTATACTAAGGTAGTGGGTGTGAGTGCTACCGGAGTAGATTATTGCCCCAAGGGGATCTAGTTTTGTCTGCACAAAACAACAAAATAAATCAAAGCTCCCTGTTTGTGCACCGGCTGAACTATGGAGTTCATTTATGCGTTTTTATTTTCCTCTGTTGACAAAAATGAAGTGCCACTGATTTTAAAATATTTATTTATTTATAGCCT